AAAAAAAAAAAAAAAAAAAGGATTCACTTAATGTCAGTGTTTTGCACAAAGTGATTCTGACTACATGCACGTAAAAGCATTAAAAATCCAGGCTTGGTGGGTCTTTTCCCCCCTAAAAGCAACTTATTCCAGGGAACGAGATGCTCATGGAATATAAATGGGTCTCAGTTGCAAAAGGCCCTCAGTGAGACTTAGAAACCAAGTGCCACCAGGACATATGCTCCTAAGTCACTTGGGAAAAAGCTTTCTTGTTGGTTCCAGTTAGAGGTATTGACTTGATTCTCCACCCCTGCATTTACACGTGCACAGAGTGAATACCAGGTGCCACCACATCAGCAGGGGACTCCCCATGGGCACAGGGCTTGTCCACTCCGATCCAAATGCAGAATCCAGGCACTACCGGCTCCATCCGGCACATGATCCACAGCCCGCTGACTCCGCTGGGCTCTGGATCAGGTCCAGAGACATTACTAGGTCCTCCCAATCTGACAGACATAAAAGCGACTCACGCACCCGGAGATGGCAGGAGTTGTGCAAAGGCTGAACGGGGCTGCTTGTTATAACTACCTGTGGTACATGTAGAGCTGCAGGGTTCGTGGGAGGAAAGCTTCCACCTGTACATGTCAGCAGCACTCACACCTTGGCCCTTTCTTAACAACTTCAATCTGTTTCTAGCAATAAGCAAAAAAAAACAAAACAAAAAACAGAACAAAAACACAAAAAAAGGGTTTACAAGGAGAGCGTGGACAGATACGCATCAGATATGCAAACAGGTCAGGCTGTCGGGCCACAATTGGGTTTGGTTTTTTGGTTTGGATTTTGCTTAATCGGTTTTTATTTTAATTTATTTTTTTACAACATACCTGTCCTGAGCCCAAAGTAGAATCCCCAGCCTGGTTAGAGGCAGAGCTTCCACTGTCTAGAAATAGAGAGAATGGGATAAAAATACCCACAAGAAGAAACAGTTCAGAATTTAACAAAGTTTGCATTTTTTTTTTTTTGCTCAAATACTCCTAACCCTAACCAGACAGTACGTAAAGGTGCAGTATCTCCTCCCTGAGGATGCCGGCATCCGACAACGTATGCCGCGTGGACGGTTGCAGCTCAAGCAGGACAGAGCAAATTCTCCCTACAAGCAAAGACTTGAGATTTTCAAATCTCACAGCCTTACCCTCTCCACAAGCCGAAATACGGCACAGGACTTTCCTGCGGCCACTAGTCTAATCACAAAAGGCATGCCACGTTCTTATTTCCCTACATGTCGCCTTGGCTAGATTTTATTTTAGATATATACTGTGCATCCCTTAGGAAATAGTATGTTCACACGCATAACACCATTGATAAAGGATAAAATAAGCATTTATGAAATCAAGCAGAGTAACTTCTTAACGGTTCGTTGCACAGGTAGATGATGTAATGTTATAATACATCAGAGATACTGCACCTTTATAACAGTAAACTCTTCAAAAAAAAATCTATGCTCGTGACTTTGTTTCAACCCTTAACACGGCTAGACTGGCTTAAAATTGTATGCAAGGTTATATCCTGATATCCAGCTGTCTCTGGCCTAGCAAGATATATGCAGCTTGTATGATTTCTAGGCAGCAGAAGCTCTGAAATTGCCTTATTTATGCATTTGTAACAAAAGTTCGTGTCCATTCGACCGCAGAATAGCTTTAAAAGGACACTGCGGAGTATTTTTATAGTTTCCCTTCTAGACCCACCCTCCTTCCATTGTTAACAATGATCTCTTAGAAGAATTAAAAACAACCACCTCATTTTCCCCATTGATTTTGCCTCAGTCATCTTGGCAAAGGGTCCTTTCCTGTGTTTGAAATGGAGCTGAAATGAACATGGCTATTTTTGTTCAAAAAATAACAATCTTGGCTTACTATAAATAGTGCTTTATCTTGCCAAAACAGCTTCGATTGTGGACCAGCATCACCCATTGATGTCAATACAGCCCTGGTGACTGTCTGCTCATTAACTACTGCTGTTTAGTCGACCGAAGGCACCACAAAAGAACCATTTTCCCCAAGACCTGTTAAAATGGTGGTTGGCCTCTGTGCCGTCTACACTTATTATTTTTTTAATTTATTCTGGAAAACGATCCTGCTGCCTAGATGCCTCATGCTCTATTCTGATCTCAGTTAATCCAGAGCGAATCCGAAGCAACTTTAAGCAATCAGGACTCATGGTAGGGGCGATATCTTTATTAGACCGGCTAGACTTTTGCAACAAAAAAAAGTCTTTAATTGCAAGCTTTCAGGCACAAACACCCTTCTTCAGACATAGGAGAAAAGACCATAAAGTAACTTGGGGTTTTCATGACTTCATAAGGGTTACTCTCAATTTAAACGGGCACAAGCGACCATGAGTTTGGCCTCTGGCGCATGCACAGCATTTGTCTCTCCTTCCCCATCCTCTGGTTCGCACACCCAAACTAGGTTTCTTCTCACACTTGAGGATGAAAAAGCCCCTCAACAGCGTCCCTTTCGCATAAGGGTCCTTAGTGCAAGAGCTTCTTCTCCAAGCCACGAGATTGCGGGAGCACGTTCTAGATAAATGAGACATCTCGTCATATGGGAACATTTAGTCCTCTTCCCTTGTAGGGCCCAGACATAACTATTACGTTGTTTTCTTCTAAATGCAAACAGCAGTGAGCTGTTATACAACCAGACTGGTGTTTTTCTCCGTTTATTAGGATTGTTATTATTATGGGTTACTATCGGGACACCTCTTTTCTTCCCCAGCGGAACTTTTGGGGGGGGGGCAGGTTCCCCCCTTTTGGGAGCAAACAAGCAGTAACAACAAAACCAGTGCCACCCTCTCTCTGCAAACAGCAAGGCGCACCCCAGACTGGCTTCACGCTGAAATGCTTTGCCGGGGCCGGGGAAGCAAATGTCTCTTCCTGGCAGGAATAGTCCTCCTGGAATCAGCTGTTGTTTTGGCTGCCTAACTTCAAGAAAGGGTCTTTGTCGCAGAAGAATATCTCTAGCCACTGCACAACAACACAGAGGCTTCACAGTCAAAGGCCTCGGGCTCATCTTTTCCCTTGTGACTCCAGGTTTGCTTGCTTCTTAATTTCACCCCTTTTAAGCAAAGCCTTGAAAGAGCATATTCCCCAGGGGCAGCGCAGACGTCTCTTGAATTATGTCAGGGTGAATTGAGGCAGTTAGTAAAGTACTAGCTTTACTTGAGTCAAGCCTTGTATAAGAAGGTGGGTTTTTTAAAAAACTAGGCTGGCTCTTAGCAGAAACATGGGTCTAACAGTTATGTGCTTATACCAATACAGTTTATTCCCACGTAGTGACCCCATAATAAGATGCTTTTATAGTGAGGTCATTGTATCTACACTGAGAGTTATATATGGGGTGGGGGGGAATCATCCCTGCCCCCTAACCAACAATATAAAAAAAAAACTAGTAAGTTCAAATTCTCGGTTCCTCTGCACTATGTGCAGCCATTAACACCAGGCTAAAGTGCAGGGGTGGGCAAAATGCGGCCCAGGGGCCAGATGCAGCCTGCCAAGCCGTACTATCTGGGTCACAGGGCCCCTAAAAAATTATCATAATTAATATTTATCTGCCCCTGGCTGCCTGTCATGCAGCCCCTCGATGGCTTGCCAACACTCAGTAAGCGGCCCTCCGCCCAGAATAATTGCTCGCCCCTGCTAAAGTGAATGCAAAGGGGACGGTCATTACCTCTCTGATCCCAAGTGTCAGTCACACAACTATAGGGATGTATTTGGTGGCTGTGTTGGTCCGAGACCAAAAGAAATGCAAATTATAGAGGTGCTATCAGCCCACTGACCCTGCTGCCACTGCAACCAGCAGGAACTCTCCCAACTCTTCGATGGGCGCAGGATTCAGGCCCCTGGCAATCACCCCTACCTTGGATGAGTACAAATGGAATAATACAATTTAGTTGCCCGTTTCTTTCAGCTTCTACCCCAAAAGAAAATCAGAGCAAACTAAGCTCTCAGCTCCACCTGGGAAACTCATTTAGTCTCGGGGGGAGCAGGATCCAGTACAGACAACGTCCCTGGGAAAGTCCATAAAAAGGTGTGGAAACCACCCAAGTTTCCTCTGACAGTCTTCACAAGCAAAAAAATAAGGGTGGTTTTAACACGTGCTCAGATGCTACTGCAAACAAGCTCTGGCTTTTGACATGTCAGCCCGGGGAGGTAACCACCACAAGGAAGGAAAGGTTTGCCTGGACCGGCAGCCGGTGCCTCTGAAAACTACCCGTCTTCTCTACGTGTTAACGCGTTGTCTGGTTAATACGTGTTAAAAGACGCCCTTTCTCCCAGCACAGACATGGCTACAGAGTCTCCTCTGCTTTGCTGTATGGGGAGGGTGCATTTCCCTGCCCCGTGGCACTGGCGAGGGCGGCTGTTCCCAGAGCCTAGGGATGAACTGAGGCTTCAGGACAAGCGCTAACAGGAGCTGAGCATCTGCCAGGCTTCTCCTGGCACCTCCCTCCCCTGCGGCCGCACCTTTCCTGAGGAAGCCTTGGTGTCTTGTAGTCAAGGGATCAAATCCCCTGCCAGGGAGGAGCAGTCAGTGCTGGTTGACCCAACTAGAAATCCATCTGGAGAGCCGGGGAGCAGACTACAGACAGCCACTGCTTCCTGCGTCTGCCCTCCGCGGTGGAGACCCATCCAGCTGCCAAGGTGTGCCCCCCCCGCCCCCCGTGCAGCCCCTCTGCACCGAGCAATGCAAAGCCTCTCCACGCTCCAGCCGTTTAACAACAGCTTCACTTCTAGTCGCCGGCTGCCAGCTTTCCCCGGCATCTCCCAAATCCTGCTCCCATAAATCAGATGCATTATCTGCTCCGTCCGCCGTCCTCTGGGCTGCGTGCTCGTACAGCACGCAGCGTGCCGAGATGCACGACAGCACAGGGCTGCCGTTTTCTGGCCCGGCGCCCACACACACGTGCGCACGCAGACGCACGCTCGCTATATTTGGGAGCGCGAGCCGCCGATGACGCTCGGAGCCTCCTGCAAGCTCCTGGCCGGGGAGCAGGGTTTTCACACAGTGCATTCATGTCAGCCACGCACAACTTTTCTTTTGAGGGCCTGCTTACAAGCTTCGCTGCTGGGGGGGCGGAGGGAGGGCAGATCCGACCTCAGCCGCACTCATTCGGTTCTGCACGGCCCCGGTGCCACAAAGCTGTCTTGGGCTGGCCTTCGTGGGGAGCTCTGAAACCACCCACCGCAGGCTGCCAGGACGGGGGGAGTGGCTGGTGAGGATTTGGCATGGCCGTATCATCCCTCAGCCCTGGCAGCTTGCAGCCGCCAGAATGGCCCCAGGGGACCAGTGGTAGCTGGCACTGTTTAGAGCCAGTCCGGGACGGTCAGCCAAATATTCTGGTAGCGAGAGAGAGAGGAGGAGGAGGAATGCAAAACTTCTTTCCGCTCCCCCCCTCCAAGGATGCTCCAAGAACAGCTCCGCCACCACTTATTGCCGCAGCCTATCAAGGCCCCAGTGGACCAGAACACCATGAAAAGTGGCAATTTTGTCCGGAGAGGAAAACACAGGGGGTGTCAAGAAAACTGTGCTGCTAGGCAGGCCCCCTGCCCGAAAGAGTCTGAGCCCGCGTAATGCCGCTGTGGGAAGCAGGTGGGTGAAGTGCCTGCTGCATGGGGAGATGACCGCAGGGCTACCTGCTTTGGGCACTCCTATCACCCCGTGCCTGGCAGGTCTGATGGCTTTGCGGTCTGCGACGCATGTACGATTGCTAGCAGTGCTGGGAGGCCTGCAGTATTACCATCGTCACACGGAAGGGGAGCCAAGGCATGGCGAGAGCTGTACTACCAACGCTGAGACAGAGAAGCAGGCCCTCCTCCGCACACGCTAAGCCCAACAACGAGGCCACACAAACAGCTGCGACACTAAGCCATCTACCCTGCTGAATTGCTGGGTTTGGGATGTGCATGAAGGTATATGCAAGCCTATCTCTGAGCAACAGCTTGCTAGGGAAACAGTACAGACAGCCTAAGTGACTCACCCAAGGTCAGGCAGGACATCTGTGGAAGAGCAGGAAATGAACTCAGTGTCCCTTGAGCCCCAAGAGGCCGAGGCTTTCACACACGAATGGCATCAGCTTTGTTTAGTCAAAGGAGCAGTCAACCGGCTCCCTGGCAGCTCACAGAAAGCTCCTGCAGATCCTTTCCCATCAAGCTGCTGGGCTTAAACCTGCTCCTCCCCTGGCATTATTTGAAAGGGCTTTTCATTAAGGGGTTTCCCAACATGTGCATTTATTTGAAGGATCATTCTTTAACCTAAATAAATCTAGCAATGACATCAATCACTTCTGAGGTGGGCTCACTCTGCCAGTCTGAAGGGGAAGGATCATTACCCCTAGTCTGCAGGTGGGGAAACTGAGGCACAGAAAGGTGAGGTGATGTACCCAAGGAAACGCACTTGGCCACTGGCAGAGCCAAGAATAGTGTCCAGGGTTGAAATGGGATGCTGCGCCTGCAGAGGTGCAGGTCTGAAGGCAGAGAGCAGGAGGCAGGCAGGCAAAGTGCCTTCAGGGATCTGGCTTGCTCCCGGGGCTGAAACAGCCCTGGGCATAAATCCGAGTTATCCTGAGGATTCACAGCTCCAGCCTGAGGCATACGAAGTGCTTCTCTCCCATCCAGCACAGCCCAGGGCCTCTATCTCTGCAGATGCTACACACCTTCTCCCACCCTCCGGCTATCTCAGCATCTTTTGCAACAGTTTTTGGATGGGGGGCGGAATACAGGATGGCTTATGGTAGCCTTCTGCTGTGTCTGTGCTAGAGAAATTCTCCCTTCAGCCCTTTGCAGCAAACTTCCACCCCCAGGACATCGTATGGGCAAGGAATGGGAGCCAGGGACAAAATCTGTTGCCAGATCTCCAGGCTCCCGGCCCAATGCCCCACCCTCGAGCAAGGTGTGAGTGCAAATAAGGCCACGTGCTCACTAAGAGGCTCCGATTTTGCTTCAGGTGAGATTTTTCAGCTAGTTCAACTTTTTATCTATATTTCCAGCTCCCCAAGTACCTAGGCATTAAGGGCTGGGTGGATGAAAAGTCACAATTCAGACCTTCCTTTCTTTCTTTGCCTACTAAGACATTGACCAAGAGCAAGTAGGTTGTGCCTGTTTGGAGATGTACATATTGATACAATACAGCCCAGGCCCTGTCTGCAAATCCATGGCCTTTCATTTTAGAGTCATTAGAAAGCAGCAGTTACATGCGTGGCTACATCCTCTGTTACAGCTGGCTTCAAACAAGCAGCTTCAGGGCATAGGGACGTGGTTTTGTGTCCTTCAGAATAACAACTACCCACATTGCTTTGTTGCTGATTAAAGAAACAAACTTTGGTAGGAGTTCCCCAGCGTCCTCCCACCTCTGACTCTCCAGCCATAGTTAACTAAGAGAGGCTCTTCCCATAAACGACTGTGGGCAAAGGCCTGCTGGCATCAACGGCAATGCTGGTGGGTGACAAACAGTGGCAAAGTACTCAAAAAAGGAGCCACACCAGCTTCTGCTGCATTAGAAATATAAGGAAGTGGGGAGCAGAGCAGTGCTGGACAAATCAGAGTAGACAAAATTAGTAGGAAATGAGGTTTTATTACACCCGGGCCTCTGAGCAGATGCTACAGGAGACAGAGCACAAGCATGTCGACAACCATAAAAATATCCTTGCCAATGTCCCTTAAACGAACACTGAATTGTCACCCTGCTTAAATCTATCTTTTTAGGCCCTGCCCATAGTAATTTTGGAATTGTCCTTTCAAAATGAGCTTTTTATTGGGAATCTTTTATGATGTCTTCATCCCACTTACCTTACGGCTTCCACACTAGCATGCGTAACGCAAGGCGTGTAACACCGAATGGGTAACACACGTTGCCCTAAGTGTGAGACCAGGACACAAAATCGGCGGGAGTGAATATTTGTAAATATGTCCCCTACCTTGCTTTGTGGGTCCTGTTCCCTTGAGGGCTGGTCACGGTGATGTTAGTGTTTGAGAGCTGAGTCTCCGAAGATGTGTTGATGGTTTTGTCGTTGGTCAGCTCCATGTAGGTGCCGTTGACAGTGTAGGTCACCATCCCTTCGTTGTCCTCGTAGTCAACATAAAGGCTGTCGATGTGTGGCCCCACAGAGTTTACCGGGTCCCCTTGGGCAAAGATGCTGTTCATGGTCATGTTCAGGACTAACTCTTTAGAGTCCGAGGTCTTGTCCAGAAGCTTGTCCGTGATTGCATTTTCCGAGAGGAACTCCTTGGAGGTAAATCTCGAGTCAAAGTCCCTGTCATCCCTGTCTGTCTGGTAAGTCGATCTGGTTGCATTTGAATCTGAAGGGAAACAAGCAGGGGAAAGAAAAACAGCTGCAAAAACCAAGTCAAAATCAGACAGGAAAGGAGAGGATGGTGGCTGGTGATCTCCATGAGACTCTGGTTTGGTCTATGAGGCCTTACTGGCACCAAAAGAACTGGGAGTTCATCAGATGCAGGAGCTGCAAGCTCCTCCAGGTACATTTGTCACAAGAGGAATTTTAAGGGTTAGGAGGTGGAAATGAAGGTTTTGCCCCACTCTACTCCCCTCCAGATGCTCAGTCCAGCACTGAGGTCAGAGTAAGAGAAGCAGCTCCCATAACTGCTCTCCTCCTTCTCATGGAAAGAGCCGCTGCCATAAAATGCCTCCCCTTCTTCCCTGCCAGCCAGCAGCAGAGAGGAGAGCAGGGAGAAGGGAAGAACAAAGGTGGTCCAGCTGCCTAAGTCACCCCACATGCACCCAGACGCACCTACACCTCGAACTTCCCATGCAAAACCACCAGCACCCTATCTCTAGAAAGGATGGAGGAGGGCCCTGAAAGGGAGATGCCCAGGGCAGCTGGGTGGTTCATACCAGCATGCCTGGGACTGTTGCAGTGCAGATGGGAGAGCCTGGAGTAAAAAAGGAAAGAGTGGGTGGATGGCTCCTGGGTGGATGCCAGCGAGGCTGGGTGCTGAAGAAGCTGATGACCAAGGAGTAGGGAAGCCTGGGACCAGCACTTGGCTTCTCCACTTGCTGCAGTCGGGGCAACAAGGATGGAGGCAGACAGCAAGCTCTGATTTGACCCCAAGTGCATTGCTAGCCACCCCTGCAATGCACAAAAGCCAGAGGGCAAAACGAACAGACCAGTAGAGGGCAAAAAGGAACTTCCCACAGTGCCCCCCCAAAAGTTAACCAGCCGGGCATTTCTCCTCCAAAGAAAACCATAGCAACGGCCCAAGTCTCCTCCCTACCTTTGGGCTGTTTGCCCTTCAGTTTCGGCTCACAGTCAATTGCTTCCGCTCTTTCATACACTTCATTGGTCTCCTGACCTTTGCTCAGGTTGAGATCTTCCGCCGTGTCCTGTGTGCCAAACACCTGGTTCTCCAAATCGATGCTTTCCCTGGAGAGTTTCCCAAAGTAGGTTGCATTGTGCTGGATGAACCCCAAAGGGCCTTCTCCATCAAACTCCCTGCTTTCCTCGCTATCAGATTCGGAAAACGTGTAGTAAATGGGCTGCATGTTTTTTGAATGTGGCTTCCTTAGAAGGGTGTATTCAAAAGTGATGGCTGGGTTCTTGCCATTTTGGTTCCATACCTACACAGAACAAGCAAACTTATTCATTGAGATGTCGCGTGCATCTGGCACCAAACTGTTTTTGTTAGCTAATACATGTCTTGGAATGACTGTTGATAGTCTCCTTTTATCTATTTTTAATGTGGCTGTCACCATGTCATCAGGGGACTAACTCCTAATATCGGTCTGTTCTACCTACCCAAATTCATCGATCAGGAATACTTGGGAAAAGTGGATACAACACTAGATTGGGAGTCAGAAGAGCCAGACTCTCCCTCATAGCTCTGCAAGCGACTGACCAAGTGCTTTGAACTTCTCCAAGGGAAAGGGGCAAGGTAATGAACTATACGAGGAAAAAGGAGGATCTGCTGACAGACAGCGTGACAAAATTAAAAACTGAATTTTATCAAGGGAAAGATGTGCTACAGCCTAGTCACTCAACTTCTGATCTTCACAGAACCGGGCTTCAAGGGTCGATGGTGGGAACTAGACTGATGTTGCCTATGTGCTTTCGGTCCATGTGGCCTTCCCATTTCCACCCAGGATATAAACATGGCTCTTTGCATTTATGACTGGCATCATCTCTCCCTACTTGCCATCTTCAAACACAGTCTGCTGTGTATTTTAACCCCAGCCAAAAAACAGGGGGAGGTCAGTGCAGTAAAAAGCAGAACAGTCACTCTGCAGCCATGGAGCATCTGTAATTCTGCGGCCCGGGGGTGGGGAGAGGAATCCTTCCACCCAAGCCCCTGTGGAGAGCCCAGCATGCCGTCTAGTTGCTATGGCTGCACACAAAAGATTTGGCCACCGGGAACTAACATGGTTAAGAAACAGCCAGGAATAAAAATTCAACAGGATCCAACATAATCGTTCCCTTCCCCGCAATTCCTAGCCCTGCAATATAAAAATGCAAAGCATACCATTATGTTCAAGCCTTGATTAGTTGGCCCTTGTGCAACGATATATTCTATGCCAGTCTCATAAACATCCATAGGCCTCCTGTACTTGAACACCGTGCCTGCAATATTGAAATTCTTTGGGCTGTCAACTTTGTAATTCCCATTGAAAAAATAGTACCCGGCTTCATCTGCAACAGCTTAAAACAAGAGGCAGGAGGAAATAAAATGAATGTAGTGTAGAAAAAATCCACAATCGATTCTCATACTGCACACGAATATCTTTATCCGCTCAATGAGCACTTATACTATTAAAATGTCATAAGACGCATATTATTGTTTTTATTGCATTTCCAAAGCCATGTCTGTGCCTGTGCATCTGTATGCCTGTACAAAATTCAGCTTCAAATTTTTTTTTTTAGACTGCAAGCTTCTCAGATCAAGAGCTGTCATGTATTCAATGCCCATCCATCACCTACCACAGTGAAGCCCCACCTGGCTGAGGTTTTCATGGACTACCACGGCATAAATGTTAAATAAGAAAAGTTTTCCATGTTTCAGACAAGCTGGATATGTTTCAGGACTGTGTGTTCCTACACTTCCATCTACTGGAGACTGAAGCTGATAACCCATCTCTCACAACATGGATATCTTGCCATCTAAGCCATGAGTCTAATAGACATCGAGCTTAAAAGCAGCTTCAGAATATGACAGTAAGAGAAACGTGTGCTCATTAAGCAAAATTATTTTGTCCACATCCTCCAACCTACATTCCCTCCTAAGCATTAGTCACCTGTCAAGGCATCAAGAGTGCAAAACTATAGGCCATATTTCCTTGTTACTGAGCATATGTGGTTTTTTCTGAGCTGCAGAATCTAAAGTAAAACAAAACGCACCTAATTATCCAAGATCAAGGCGCTGTCAACGTTACAATTCTCTGCAACAGCAATGCCTGGACCAGTGGGTCAAAGTGAAAGCAATTAACATGCTGAATGTCACGGGCCAAACCCTCGCCTGGCATAAATCAGCATAGCTCCATTGACTTCAACAGAGCTAGGACAATGGACACTAGCTAAGACCCTGGCTCACGTCCGCAGTAGAGTTATTTGTATTCAACACATGCTTTTATTTGTGGGGTGGAGGGTGGGAGCCACAACACACATGCACTAATTCTAATTGAGCACCAAGAGGTTATACACACCCAAAACATCCGCAGATTTTTTCCGTTCAACTATCTGGATATCTCTTGCTCCCGCAGGAATGTGCGTCACCAGAGAATAGCCTACGGAAAACTTTGTATTAATGAAAGAAAAGCTTTATAACAAACCACATGACCAACAATAGTCTCTAGAGCCGGTATTTGCCACACAAGAGCCAGGTTGGCTTTGACCTTTCCAAATGACATTTAAAAAGATGGCCAATGGTAATACCCACCTGACTGCTCATAACATTCACCCATTTTCCTGCCCAGAGCAGGGGGTCAGACTCAATGATCAGATGAGATCCCTTCTGATCCGAGCATCTGTGAATCTATGTGTCGGCTTCCCGGCCTCCTTTGCCAGAGGTTGCAATCTCCACTTGTAGGAACTGGAGATGCTCCATCAGCTTTGGAGGAGCAATGTTAGTTTGCACCAGCTGAGAACCTTGCCCACCATTTCTTATCAAAGCACCGTCCATTGGCCTGAAGGCAGGGTGAGAATAACCTTGATAACCCATCTGGAAGCACGACAGTAGTTTCAGCTTCGATGATTGCTCTATGAAAATTACTGGCAGTGTTTTTCAACCTACAGTCTGGGCTCTACTGTCGGTCTCATTTATATCAGACTCGCCCCAGAGGTGGTGCAAGCCAAGCACCTACTCTGGACTCATTCAAAAGGCGTTTGGATGTTTATCTGGCTGGGATCATTTGATCCCCACAGACTTCCTGCCTATGGCAGAGGGCTGGACTTGATCTCACGAGGTCCCTTCCAGCCCCTAATGCCTAATGTCTATATAGTCCATGCACTTAAATCTGAATAACGCTACGACCAATTATGAGATTGGACGGTTCCACACGCTAGGAAAAAGCAAAAGCATCAGGTCGTACTGTGATCATATTAGCAGTCAAAGATTTTTGTCTCCCCTTCTCCCTACACAACTGAGCGTGCTTATTTAGCAAGGGGTAGAGGCATTCATCACCTTATTCTGAATCATCAAGTACCAGACCACTGAGGAGTCAGGGACTAAATGGACCAGCCATCTGATCCAGTCTGGAAAAAACCCATGTTCCTAGAAGTATTTTCTTGTATCTGTCTGCAGCAGCATATTGAAAATGTGACCTGCGATCTCACTTCATGGAGAAGGGCCCCAGGAAGATAGAACTGGACAAAGAAAAGCCTCATGAGCATTAAGGATTATACCTTATGATCATCATGCCCAAGATAGTCATAACCTCATTCAGAGTCTTTATATGGAGTACATACAAACAGCTGTACGAGCAGCCATGTGAAAATGCTTTTATTAGCTACATTCAGGAACAGTGCGTTCATTTGCTGGTGACGCAGGAGCAACTAGTTAGAGAGTAAGAGCTGGTTTCACCTCTCATTTACGCGGATTATCCACCAGGTGGGTATATAACTACTGGGCCAAACCTTCAGTGGATGTAAAAAGATGCAACACCACCCAGGTCAGTAGAGCTGTTCTGATTTACACCAGCTGAGGATCTGAACCCCTGACTGTAATACAGGTGTTCAAGGCTGAGACCAGTGAGAGAGAGAGGTGGCTTCAATTGCTTTGCCCAGCACTACTGCAGAGGTCCCAGCTTTTTCAAAGGCATGCTGGCTTCCCAACATTACAGAGCATTTATTCCTTAGTGGGGCAGTTGAAATAAGACCTTAGAGCTGAGGCTGGTCCCTTGTGTAGCCTCACTCCACTATCCAGTACAGTGAAGTGCAGATACATCCTTTTCAATCCTTGCAAAGTTACCTGTATCCTTGCCTGTCCAGAAACATAAGAAGGATGTTCTCCAAAAACACCAAACATGGACAAAGCCCTGGCTGGGATGGTCTACTGGGGGATGACCCTGCTTTGAGCAGGGGGTTGGACTAGATGTGAGCCCCTGAGGTCCCTGCCAACCCTCATTTTCTATGTTTCTAAAATAAAATGTTCCCAGAAAACAACAGGGCTGCTGGCAAGATGGCAAAGCTGAAACTAATAGACTCAGAAAGATGCTTTCATTTAAAACAGAGGCAAAAGGTCATTGAAAGTCTTACCGAGATGCGAATTGCCTTTTCTGTAACTCCCTGTAACGTGGGTGCAGCTGCTGCCGTCACCTTGGCAAACCCCGCATTTGTCCAGCGTGTGGGTGGAAAATAGAATCCCATCACATCCAATCGGCTAGAAAAATTGTAAGTAGAGCATTGAGGGCCGGGCAAATATTGCACCCACTGTAATTTTCTGAAAGCTACTGACAAGATTTTTGCTATAATGTTTAACAACCTCACATTTTCCAGACACGCAAACCCCTCGGAAATCAGCATATTTGCAGGATGTTCCGTCCCGAGCTTGAACCATCAATTGTCTCTGACCATCCACAGTGGTGCAATGGAGGTCACAGGGCTTGCTAGAAATGTGAACATAGTCATCTAAGGGAAAAGGATATAAAAAAATACAGTCAAAACAGGAGAAACACAATCACTTCATTCTACCAGTGTTGCCGACAGTTTTCCTAGCTAGCGCATCAGTAGTGCTAGCCAGAACTGCAAGATGCTCAGCTTTTCAGAAGCTCCCGTCTCTACAGGTGTGCAACCTGGAGCAGTTCTGAGGGTTGGATGGTCCAACACAGCAAACCTCTGCACAGATAAGTGGCTCCTACTCCTGCAGCTCATTCAATGAACTAATGTTATGAATTATATATACACTAATGCTAAGATTTTCAAAGCTTCAGTGATGAGCATCTTGATCGCTAATGTGGTTCTGAAAATCTCAAAGGTGTGCACCTACAGGTTACAGATCAGTGCATATCAGTCCATGGGGACTGGCCTGTAGCAGCAGTGATGGCTTACCTGGGTATAGGTTTGCAGTATTGGCACATATAAATATACCTATGCCTAAATCATATAAATCATAAAAATATAAAATATCAAACCATCATAAAAATCATAAAATATAAAAACATGAAACCATGTAAATATACCTATGCCTAAATCATACCTATATACCTAAATCATATAAATATATCTATCATATAAATATATATGTGCATGTAAGATACTTCTACACATAACGATTTATATCTATTAATATACACATTAGATAAATTAACAGCTAACGTCAATTTAAAATCATAGCTGAACAAACTGCAAAATCTGCAAGTATTCTTCTGTGTTTGTTCATGAAATCCTTTGGACTGCATTCACCCTCTGTCGTATTTGCTTTCTGCAAATATTCAGGCAGCTATGTCATTGGCGGAAGCGCTCAGTGGGGGAGCGACTTTTAAGTGGATACTGCAAAATATTCACGGAAAGTATATGGCAAAATCAAAACTGGGCTAGAAACTTGATTGTAAGAGCTACACTCAGCCAATTTGGGAACAGAAATATATCAGCTGGCCTGTGCATCTAATCAAAACAGCTTGAATTTCAAATCATTATTCTGTAAGTCTCCCAGTGAGCTGCTCCATCAGCCAGATTATTCACTGAAATGATCTGGTGAACAATCCTGAATAGTGGATATATGTGAGGAAATTCCCACCTGCCCACAGGAAACATGCAACATTGGTCAAAAAAATGATGGGCAAAAATCTATCATTTAGGCCCTGACCTGGGCACTATAGGGTGGGGGTGAACCACTCCAGGGCAAGACCAAGTGGGACCTAATTTGTGCCTTGGATTACAAAGAGGTTAGAGATATTTTGAAAACCCTGCTAAGTGCCTATCTGCATCTCTACACACCAAGATACTTCTGCATATCATGGCGGGGGAAAATAATTGTAAAATAACGAAACCCCAGGGACTCAGGCTCCTCAGCATCCAAGGCATTTTTGAAAATGGGACAGCGGCCCAGATTTTTAAAAGTACTGATTTCAAGGGGAGTTATGTTTCAAACCTAGGCCTTCGTCTCCTCGGTCACACAGACAATTATCAAACTTCTCCCTGTGCGACTATCCAGTTGACTCCCTTCATTTCAGCGACACTTGATAAAACACACAAGGGACATACTCGGGGGGAGGGGGGCACGTGTCATCCAGCATCACCGAAATGGGACAGGTCAACTCAGTGGACATACTGAACCATTCAAAAGGCATTTTGCACGAGCAAGCCAGCTTCTCATTGCTGGAGCTCCCCATATTCTCTGTGAGACCTTTAGCATTCAAACCTGCAAGTCCTGATCCACTGCAGTCAGACAGGAGTTTTGCCTGGGAGAAGACTGCAGGATCTCGCCTTTGTTCTAAGTCATCATTTTATTTAACAAAAATACAATTTTTTTTAAAGGCCTTGCTTTGTAGCCACCGAATGCTCCTTTGAACCTGGGAGACAGTGACTGGTGTCCCTGTAAATCAGTTTAGTACATCAGAGGAGGAGCCTTCCTGAAGTGTGCAGCACAGTAGCTATCAAAATATTTTGGCTAAGTGTTATAAAGCACACAAAGAATGTCTTGTTACCAGGATATAAAGGTTTCCATTGATACGTTCTTCCATTATACACATGGGAGTTAAACGATGAACACTGTTCCTCCCGAAAGCTCCTTCCGTTGGGCGGGCACTCCTAGAAGGGGATACATTAATATCCTGATGAAAACAAAATGCAGGAGAGGTTTCTGGCACATCTCAACTGGCTGCTTCCACAATTAATATTTCATGGCTTGTCCTGTAGCCTGGCTCTACCTGGCTCTGAAAAGGCCTGGGACAGCTGGAGGATGAGCACCTTCTGGAAGACAGCTCATCTCTTTCTCCTCCACCAGCAGCCTCAGCTGACACATGGCAGAACTGGGATGCCATGTGGCCATGCCGGGGGGCTGGGGGTGGGCACCACCCCTTGACAGCTCTTGCTCCATAGCTCCCAGCACGAGGCCAAGGAGTAGGGTGGGATCCAAGTCAGCGTGTCTCCAAACTGTGTCGATCCCGGTGGGGTGCATTGGAGAAGCAACCACAGCCACAGCTGCAGCTACGTAGGATGGCAATTTGGGTTCTGCTCCTCATTCTTCTGCAGGTTTATTCAATGAATGAGAACAAATCACTTCATTTTTCTGTGCTCTGCTACCCTACCCATCTGCTGCGTAACAGTAATGCTCACCTATCGCAGGAGCTTGTTGTGGACATGCTCCGATGCTACAGTGATGGGAGCCATTGAAAAGCCTTTGAATAAAAACAGTTACTCTTTTGTTGGGTTGGGCTGGGAAGGGCATGCGGCAAGATGAATGCCAGTCATTTTCCACTCTTGTGAGCTATCCAGAATTGCAGATGGATTGAGGAGGGGGAGGCGGATCGCAAGTCAAAAGACATCATTTTTTAATATTTGTAATGTAAAAAAAAGAGTATTCTTACTTGTACTTTGCAGAGCTGGTATCTTTTGGATGTCCCAGTGCAGGTTTTATTAGCAAGCCCACTCACAGACTTCCTTCTGAATAAAGAAATAATGCTTAGAAATGGGGTTAGACTCTCTTGGAAAATAATATCTACATTGCCTGTTTGCACAGGTGCTCACATATCCAGTAGCAATGTCTTCTGGAATTAAGGCATCATCCTATTGA